TATTTCTAGGTTCTATATATATAAGATAAAATTATAAGATAAGAAGAATTAGTAAAAAGGTTTAAAATTTGAATACATCTATATTTGAATGTATCTCTTTTTTTAAAAAATTTTTAAATAGTAAATAATTTGTTGATCATTTATAATCATGTTATAATTAGCAAATTTACTATTTAATAATTCTAAAAAAGAGAGATGCATTGCAATACATCTGTGTAAAATTATTATTTTCTTAATAAAATTACTAGTAAATTTGAAATTTTATCTATTAAAAGTAAGCAGATTTTATTAGTTGTAAGAATTATTTATTAATTATATAAAATTTTCAAAAGTTGCTTATTTTAAAGGTATTTTTTTCAAAATTTCTTATTCTACATACTTTTATTTTTAAATAATCTACTAATTGAATTTTAATGAATTTTATATTATTAAATTCATTTTAATAAGAAAAATTTAATGATAGTAAAATTGCATTTCTAGTACTAATATTAGCTAAGTTAGAGTTTAGATTTGCATTTATGTAATTTGAGTTGACTTAAGTTGAATTTGCATTCAAATTAGAAATTCTTGACTCAAGTCAACTAAGATTATATAGTTGATAATGCTAGTTAAATACTATTTGTAATTACTACTAGCACTATATTTATAATAGTCTGAGTAAAATTGTAAATAGTTTTTTGGCTTGTACTTTAAATTTAACTCAAATTAATTCAGGTTAATTCAAGATTTCAAGTCTTGACTTAAGTTTTAAATTCAAATACTTTTTAAGTTAAAAGTATTTTGACTTGTTTTACTTGAATTGACTTATTGTCTTATTTTGATTTGAGTTCAAACTTTAAGTTAAATTATTTATATAAATTAAAACTTTGACTATATATATTTATTAAATTAATTAAGAAATATTTTGAAATCTCAATTAAATAATCTGTATTGAATAAAAATGATAATTATAATATTTTTTTTCTTTTTTTTTTTATTTATATCTTTTAAACCAAATTATTTACTAGTATATAAATAATATTTTAATAAAAATATTAATTTTATAATTAATATAATTCTTATTTTTTTTTTTTTTTAATTGCAGTATATTCGCTGATTTATTAAAATTATATAGTATATAAATTACATATGAATTATATTACACTAAATATTATTAATCAACAAATCACTTATCATATTACAACCACATATACACTGTTAGGTGAAAATTATGCTTAGAGAATAAGACATATGTAGAATAATTTTTCTTAGCAAACACCTCTCTTTCTACGTGATGGGATTCACAAAACCTACTGCATCACAATTAAAAAATAATTTTTTCTTATAACATAAAAAAAATTAAATGCAACCAAAAATGCCTTATTAATCTTTTTATAATTTCAGATTCAAGTAAACTTTGTAAAGAGGTCCGCATCTATACTATAAAACCTAGTTGAATCAATGGTAAAAAATCCAGACTGGCATACTCTCCAAACTTTAACTACTTTTTCAACATCTATCTAAACATTAAAATTGATGGACCTATAATTGTATAAGTCTTTAAGGTGTGTTAGAGTAAAAAGGCTATCTATCAAATAAGAACTAGACACATAGAAAGCAATCCTTACTAGATATCTGTTCAAAATTCCAATATACTTATAGTGCAGAACTTCTATACTCAACTACTTATAGTAACAATTGATTGATTATAAATTTCTAAAAAAAAATTTTTTTATATTAAAGTAAAAAATTTAACTGATAATTTTTATAGATATGACTATTAGCTTTAAAAATTATTGGTTATTTTTTTTCTAAATTAAATTTTGGCTGAGTTTTAGCTGTTTAAAAATCTGTAATTTAAATATGTTGATTAAATTTAGTTAAAATTGAGATTATTCTAAATTTTTATATTACAGATTTTTTTTAATGTACAGATTTTTAAGATTTTTTTTTTTTAATATGCTAAGAAAAAAAAAGTTCTAAAACTGCAAAAAAAGATTTAATGAATAAGGTTGTTTAAATATAAGTCAATTTAATGTTATAAATGATAATTATATATCATCAAGTAAATATTTAGAATGGAATTTATAAATAAAAAATTTAAAAACTAAGTAATTTTACTTTAATAATTTGGTCAAAAAATGCATATAATAAAATACAAATCTCATTATCATATATCTAATTCATTAGTTTATAATAATGAAATATAATGAATAAATATATTATATAAATTTTATATCATATAATTTATAAAATCCTAATTTCTGATTGGTTAATATATATATCACATGATGCTTACATAATCTGAAAAAATCGAGACTTTTTTTTATTTTATAAATTAATTCCTTTTAATAAATAGAGTTTAATTTTTTTTACAAAATTAAAATCCAATCATAAAATCAAATTTTTTTTAAGTTCCTATTATAGAGGTTCTGCACCATATCAAAATCACAAATAACTCTATTAATAATATAAAAGAAAAATAGTATAGATAATAAAGAAAATAAAAATGTAAAAATAAAAAATAATTGCAAAACATCCTGAAGAAAAAATTCAGCAAGATATTTATCACAATCCTTGAACCCTCTTGGAGTGTAAAAACAACTGTGAATGAAGCTTAAGCGTTGAATCAAGTATTGTTTAAAAAGAAACTATCAAAGATTATTTGACTTATTTTCACAAGTTGAATTAAATGTAAGCCTGTATTGAAAGTCATATGATCTGGTAGGTTTCCAAAAAGTATTATTTGGTTTAGTGTTATTTCTAAAATGGCATCTTTCATATCCGTTATAAATTGTTGTGATACCAGCAGATTTTAAAAAGTAATGAGAAACGTATTCAATTTTTGACATGATATATCTTAAAATCGTTTAGATAGTTTCCTAATCAGGAATCTTGTAATCTGACGAATAGGAAAGGCCAGTTTGAAGGAGTAAATATTATTCATTGTATTGGAAGGTACAGTCAGACCTCTATAATTGCACTCTCCATAATTGCACCCATTATGTATACCCTCTCTAAATGCACCCTCTGGTTCAGTCCCAAGCTTATATGATCTCTAATTATTTTACCTCTATAAATGCACACCCTCTTTAAATGCACTATTTTGAAAATTATGCATATGATCCCAAGGGGTGTGCAATTATGGAGGTCTGACTGTATAAAGAAGTCACGTTTAAAATATTTCAAAAGATTAGTAAAAGTCTTCCAAAGGTATTTCTTGTAAAGGTGTTTTGTACGTTATGAAGCTATCGTGTGTTTCTTGATAGCATCTTCTAATATCTTGAAAAATGGTATAAAGGTAGTTATGTTATAAAAATATAATGAAATCTTCAGTAATAAGACTTTTGTTGTAAATTCTTTCTATATCCCAAAAAATAGCTTAATAATTTTAAAGTTGTATATTATTAGTCTTCATAGTATTACTACTTAAGTTAGTTTTCTCTTTGCACGTCCTATCCTTTAGTTTTCTTTTTAAGATTCGATCCACCTATGATCAACAGAAAATTACTATATAAATTCAGGGGAAATTTTATTGCAAAAAATAAATTAAATAAGCAAAATTTTGCCAATCAAAATCATCACAAATCATGTTGTGATACCAAGTCATATGATGAAACTTAAAAATGCCAAAAAAAATATTAAGAAAAATATTTTCACATAGAAACTCACAATAAATGCTAAAATCTGACACCTACCATGTCTTAAATATTCATTATTCAGTAAAAATTGCTTCATGTATAAAAATTACTCAAATATTATTGTCAAAGTAATGGTTTTTTAGCTAAAAACAAGTGTAACTAACGTATCAATAGAAAAGATCTAAAAATGAAAAATTTAACCTAAAATAACCTATCTGCTATATAAATCCTTCTAAAAAGCCATTATTACCTATTGTTCTAGTAATTGTATGTTATTTTTTTTATATTATTGTTACAATACTTTCAAAAAGCTAATAATACTTTACAAACTAACACTAAGAGTCTAAGAGTTTGTGTGATGCATTCAAATTGAAAAACTAGATAAGAATACATATACCAAAACTTCTACCATTTAAAATTAATTTACAGGTTACTCCTCATGAAAATAGAAAAAGATCATAGTAACATGTGAACTAAAAGCAAAAGAAAATATTAGAATTATATAAAACAAGTAGTTTTAAACATATAAAATATATGAGAACATAATTTTAAATGTTCATATATGTTAAAATAATGTAATATATGACTTGAAATTCTTGCATATATATATATACATACCTGTCAAATCTGACGCTACCTCAAAGTAAAGTTTTGAATAAATAAATAAATTTCTCAATTTTTTTTTATTTTTTTCATCTTTGACATTTAAGGAATCATCATGTGAATTTTGGTGATACAGCATGATGATCTGCAGTTTTTATAGCTCATACAATTTAGCCAATTTTGGCATTTTTATAATAATCTCATCCTGAATTTATATAGTAATTTTCTGTCGTTTGTAGGCGGATCAGCTTTTAATGTACTTTCAGTCCAATATTTTCATCATCTGCTTCCATGTTGAGAATTTTTACCCAGTTAAAAAAAAAATAAAAAATTACTAATATTAAAGAGAAAAGTGTATTAAACAAGAAGGTTTATAAAAAATAAAAAAAGGCTTAAAGAAAATTATTAATAAAAGCAAAAAAAATAAAATTTTATTATTGTAAAAAAATGGTTATGAATATAACTGGAAAGAGTTTTTATATTCAATATAATTCTTATAATTATATAATATAATATTTTTAAAGGTATCATTAAAAAAAAAAATTTTAACTAAATTATACAATATAAAAATTTTTCTCAAAAGTTCATTCATTATTTGATCTAATTTCAATAAGTAATAAAGCTAGTTATAAAGAATTTTCAGATATGTATAGTACAATTATAACAAAGCAATATAAACCATCTTTAATATATTAATAATAAAAAAGAAAAAAACTCATATAGGATTTGATCCTACTGCTCAATTTGTTAGAAATGTTGAAATAGTAATTAAATATTATGAATGCAATAAATGGTGTATATTTAATATATAGTAAAAGTAAGTTGTTTTCCTTTAAAATAGCCATTTTAAAAAGGTATTTAGATTCTATTCAATATGATTCTTTTAAAGTTTTAGCAAACTCAAATATAGAAATGGAAAATATTGGTAATGAAAATAGTGAAAATAATAAAGTAAAAAATATTTTTGAAAATGTAAAAGTTGATGATAAATTAATGTGTAGTAATTCAATAGAAGTTTTCTACTATTCAAGTAGTTTATTTGAAGTTTAATATGAAAAAGTACCAGAAGATGAATTTGACACATCTGAAAAGGTTAGTGTAAATGAAATATATTATCACTATTGTAATGAATGTTATACAATAGTTTCAAATAAGAAGAAGCATGATAAGAATGTTAAGTTTCAAGTAATAAAAATAATATATAACATATTTATAAATTTTTATATAATAAAGTATATGCAATTTTATTATGTTAAGTCACGTGATAAAAAATTTTACTATAAAAAAAAAATCACTGAATTTTTGTAAAATTGACATAGCCAAATCATAGAATTTAAAAATTAATTTTGCCCATTATGATTCTATTTATACAATAATGTAAGTCATATTTATTTAATAAAATTTAACTTTTTTTAGTTTATAATTTTTTTGTAATAATGGGTTAGATTAATAAATATATTAAATATCCTGTAAATAGTATAACTTGAATTGATATATTGACATAATTATTCAATTACAAATATTAATAATTATAATAAAAAACATGTATACATTAGTGATTAATCATAATATTTATTAATCTAATTAATAAAATATTGAGTTAAAGTTATACCATTATGACTTAAATTAGACATTTAAATTAATGTTTAAGACTTTAAACTTTAAGGTTACAATTAGAAGTATAAGTATTACTCATAATTATAAAATATTGTAATAAAAAATATTTATTAAATCTATTAAATGTTACAGAAAATATATTACATATATGGAATATTAGTCTATTTTAAATTAATAAAAAAAATGTTAAATTATGATTCTATTTATGCAATATAAGTCATATTTATTTAATAAAATTTAACTTTTTTTTATTATATACAGTTTATAATTTTTTGTAATAATGGGTCAGATAATTCAGATTAACAAATATATTATACTTTATAAATGTGAGTCATTATTTCACATGAGAAATTATGACAACAGATTAAATTAGAAAATTTTACTTAATAAGGCATCTGATTGTATGTCTTATATTTTTGATTTCACAGGAACCATAAAATTTTTTTCGATTTGGCCAATCACAAGATAATAATATATATCCATATGATTAATATCATATAAGTTATATATAAACCTTTTTCTTTGTTCTATATTCTCATTCTATAGCTAAGATGTCTTCAAATACAACTAATATAGAACAAAGAAATGACAACAACAAAAACAATAAAATCTGTTTTATTTGCAAACAGCACAGACTATACTTGTAGCCAAAACCTTTTCACGTAATTTTCGGCCACGTCTTTAAATCAAAATTAAGTTAAAAAATGATAAAAATTAATCTCTACATCCAGCCGAAACTATAATATAAAGTCTTTGGAGTTTCAGATGGATTTCTGGATAGTTTTTAATAATTTATTATAATTAAATTACTGAAAGTCTGAAACCCTGTCCAGCTTCATAGAGGTTTCGGCTACATGTATAGCACGGACATTCCACAAGGTACTGTAGAGTACCAAGATCCAAACCACTCGCAACTAGAAAAAGCCAAAATACACATGTCTCCAAACGTACACGTATTTCCAAACGTACAGGTATTGATCTAATTATAATTGTAATAAAATTTAAATATATTTAATATGTTTGTCTTCAAATGCAAAGAAAGGAAACCAAAGAAAGTACAGAAAGTAGCATGGAGTAAAGAAGATGAGGTAAGCAGTTCTTCAGTTATTAAAGAAATCCATATATCTAATCTTGCTTGAATCTTTCATCATTAAGACACATCGCCAAGCACTCATTAAATGTGCTAAGGCATATGCTAAAGCTGAACAGGAAGTTCTCTCCATTCCAGGTACTTCAGCTATTGGAGATATACAATATGCAGTTTCTCTCCTTAATGAACAAAATAAAGCTGAAATCTGGCCAGATCAATTCAAACCAGAATACGATCTTTCACTTGCAGAGTCTCCAGTAAAGTAAGTCAATTATCCTTTTGCTTTTTCTTTTTACCTTTATTTCTAATTTTATATATTTTAAGGGAGGCCTTAGTTGCAGCTAGAATTCTAGGAGAATTCTCAGATTTAACAGTAAAATTAATTGAAGAGCTTAATTATGATTTTTATTGGGCTGTTAATGAAACCTCAAAAATTCTTTCAAAAGTTCAAGAAGATTCATACGATGGTGATGATCTTAAAGATTATGACCTTAGAGAGTGTGATAACTCTATGGAAGGTTTGTACACTAAAAAGTATATATCTATTGATTCCAACATTAAAATAATATATTAACAAACTATTATATCAACAAATTAGTCAATGATATGTCATCACCCGTACCTTCACAACATGAATAAGAATGTTAAAGAAGTATAAATATTATCTTTAACTTTTAATTATTCGTAATTAATTTAGAATAAATAAAAATTAATGGCAATTTACGTAATTTTTTACTTGTGTATTCTTGTATGTAGTGTGTTTGTATAATAATATTTCCTGATTCAGATTTTCATTGCAATAAAAATATTGTGATAAATGTATACTACAGGGCTGTATGACAGAACTACTAATTTAATATGTGAATCAAGTCAAAAGAAGTGCACTTTCATGATGAACTGCAATATTAAGAAGTTATTTTATTTTATTTTTTATTTAGCCGTTTTCATATATTATTTTACAAAAATATAATAAAGATTTTATTTGGAATTTTTTTAAATGTATATATATTTTACAAGTGATATTCCATATAAATTTGAATATGATATTTATAATAGTATAAGTTTTATAATACATTAAAAATGCTATAATTCTATAAATTTGCTATAAATCATTAAATCATTTAAAATAATTGTTAGAATTTAAGATTAATATCATTTTAGATAATTGATCAAATAAAAATTTTTTAATATTCACTTCTAATTTACTGTATATTATATAGTATTTTGTATAATAAAAATGTAACAAAAGGGGTTGATCACCCTTGGCTCATTGGTTAGTCCGTGAGTCCCCTCGTGAAGCCTGAGTATGGTGAGGTCACAGGTTCGATTCTGCCGATCACGGAAATTAAAAGAATTTTACTGCGGACACTACTACCAATAGTGTGAAGGTACAGGGATTAGTGTAGGCTGGACTGCATCATGGTGAATTAGTATGTACCAGTCGGCGGCATATTTCAACAAAGAGTCATGGTGTCCTCCTAGCATTCCCTATGAGGCTATTGGGAAGCCTATTGTCTTGTCTGGATGGTCACTGCTTGCATACCATCTGGGTGAGCTCTTGTCTTGGTGGTCACTCTACGATACCACTAAGGGTGTGGTAAACTTTACTGTGGGGGTTTACTACGCTAGATGGTCCTCATAGATGGTAAAGTCTCAAGTGCAATGTTTTAGCAGTAGTTTACCTTCTAATAGGTTTAGGCTGATTGGAGACGTTCGTGGGCTTACAGGTATATAAGGTTCTAAGGTGAGGTTCGATTCCTCAGTGAATTTGTCTTACTGGTGGGTTATCCTTTGGTAACTGGGTTGGTTACTTATAATAAAGGGGTGATCCCAGTACCCTTAGCAGCTTACTGTCCTGGTAGTCACTACTATTACTACTGGGGGATTTACAACTATGGTGGGCTGGTATGGTAATCGCGGCCTGTAGTGGGCTTTGAGTGAGGCCATATTAGTAGTCTTAGTATTGCAGTACCTCTAAGCTAACCATCATGGAAGGACTTCTAGATGTCTGCTCCGTTATATCTGCCGTACGTGGGTGGTTGCTCACTTCT